CATTACATTTACTAGTTAATAAATTATACTAGTTGTCATTTCACTATAGAGCTTTTTCTCCCCTAATAAGTACTTAATTATTCACATCAGTATGGACTAACAGATTCCTATTTTTTTATCCACTGAATTAAAATCCATCGCTACCATTATTTATTTCAGTGTTCAAATTTTCCCAGATAAAGCGAATGGAAATCCTTTTAATCTGGCTTCTGTATCCTTTGGCTATGTCTCCATTATTCCTTGACCACTTTCTTACTTTCTGGGACGTTACGATTCTCCAGAACTTTCCTTGCTCCAGTCCTCAAATCAGTCTTTTCCCCATGGAGCCTAGGTACCTATTAACAGAGAATGGTATTCAGAAATCAAAGTATGTATGTCTTCCCACTGGGTTGTCATTGCTTCTAGGCTTTTCTTTTTTTTTCTTTAAAAAAATTTTTTATAGTTTATTTGGTTTTGAGACAGAGAGAGACAGAACATGAGTGGGGGGGGGGGAAAGAGAGAGAGGGAGACACAGAATCTGAAGCAGGCTCCAGGCTCTGAGCTGTCAGCACAGAGCCCAATGGGGGCCTCGAACCCACAAACCGTGAGATCATGACCTGAGCCGAAGTCAGACACTCAACCGACTGAGCCACCCAGGCGCCCCACCTCTAGGCTTTTCTAGGGATAGAACTCATAGACCTATGTCCATGTGTATTTCACACACATGTACGTACAGATATGCAACTATAGCCATTTCTTTTTTTTTATTTTTTTTTATTTTTTTATTTCTAGGAGAGAGAGAGACAGCGTGAGCAGGGGAGGGTCAGAGAGAGAGGGAGTCACAGACTGAAACAGGATCCAGGCTCTGAGCTGGCAGTCAGCACAGAGCCCGACGCGGGGCTCGAACCCACGAATCGCGAGATCATGACCCAAGCGAAAGTCGGACGCTTAACTGACTAAGCCACCCAGGCACCCCGCAACTATAGCCATTTCAATATTTATCTAAATATATTAGAAGGCAGGTGTTCATCCACATACCCCCAGTTCCAATCCAACACCAGAGGATTTATTCAAATCTTCCCTATTTCCATCTTCATAAATCAATCCTCTGACAGTGAGAAGCCTGGCCCCCATAGTCTTCAGTATATTTATCATTTGTTCAGTCCCCTTATATGTAACTCATCCTTGAACCTGTCTGCCATGGACAACTCGGCTTTGTGGTCACTAAGTGGGCCACCGTGTGGACAAAAGGGAATGCTTCTCGGGTTTTGTCTTGGCGATTGCATAGCATTGTGTCAGCCCTTTGAAGAATTCTTTACCCTTTCCCCAACATTTTTAGTTGTTTTGAACAGGAACATTGTCAAAGAATAAAATTGTAATGTTCTCATAAGTTGAGCCAAATCTTATTTTTATGTGCTCTATGAGGAGAAAACGTCAGGAAGCGCTAATTTGGGTTGTTATCCGTTCTTCATTGCCTGGATCAGGTTTAGCTGTGGCTTCCTATAATCTTGCCACTTCTAGACGAAATCATAAATTGAACTGCTTTCACTGTATCTGGTATTAAAACCATGGAGGAGACCCACACACCCCACGGCTCTTCCCTCATGAGCCTAGATCAGTGTTTCCCAAACTCCTGCATGCACACAAACCACCCAGAGATATCGTTAAATGCAGAGCGCGTGTTACCTGGTCTGGGGTGGAGTCCGAGAGTCTGTTTTTTGTTTTTTTTTTTTTTTTTTTAATATTTTACTTATTTCTAGGAGAGAGAGAGAGAGACAGCGCGAGCAGGGGAGGGTCAGAGAGAGAGGGAGTCACAGACTGAAACAGGTTCCAGGCTCTGAGCTGTCAGCCAGCACAGAGCCCGACGCGGGGCTCGAACCCACGAACCGCGAGATCATGACCTAAGCGAAAGTCGGACGCTTAACCGACTAAGCCACCCAGGCGCCCCAACCGAGAGTCTGTTTCTAACAGATTTCCTGGTAGCAAGAGTCTCGAGTACTCATCACCCTTATTCCAGGGGTCAGTGAGGGGGGATTCAGTTGTTCAACCAGCAAAACTTACAGGTATGTTCAACCTTTCCTTTTTTTCATTTGCAAACCTACACACACACAGAGCAGAGTGAACCCCGAAGCATCACTGGCATTTACCAAACTTCCTCTGCCCCTGACCTTTCTGTTCTGAGAGTATCTTATTGTATTATTTTTTAGAGTATTTTAAAGCAAATCCAGCCATTCTATCATGTCAACGTGCACCTCTAACAGATTAGGATTAAAAACACAGACACAACACAGTGTCATTATCAAATGAAATTCACAATACATACAATACAAAACATAATTCCTTGACACTATCTAATACTCAGTCCATATCCGTGCTCTCGGATGCAGGCGATGGATGGGTCCCCGGGTCAGCTACTCCAATGCCCCAGACTCACTCCCTTAAGCTGAATACCTTCGGTCGCCATGCTGCTTGGGCTTTCCTCGCTGGCCAAGAACACGTCCTCCGCAAACTGTATTCTATGGCCTGCCAGTTTGATTCTTGGGAGAACTCTGCTAATAAGCCTCAGCAAAATCTTTAGGATTGTGCCCTTTGACTGCCTTCCTGGGGCTCTGCCCAGTCCTCTAGTCCTGAGGCTGGGACAGTAAACAGTAGCCCGGGCAGGAGGCCTGGAAAGTTGGCCCTGCCTTAAGTTGGCAGCGCAGGTGACCTTGATGTAGACGTTTGAGAAAGTTTGCTTCAGGAGAGGACTGGGGGCCAGGCTTCCCAAGCTCTTCCAGTCTTACAGCCCTCTAACTTTCCCCAGATATCTACTCATCGCTAGGATGTGCTGTTAATCAGTGCATTGGGCCCTGTGCAGGGATTGCCTCTCCACCTCTCCAACCCCTGGCTATATAGGCAGAAAGGACCTCCTGTCACCAAGGACCAGAGTGAAGCTCATTCCTGTAGCTGTCAGGACCCTCCCCCCACTCCTCGCCACTGGCATGCAGCTCGTCTCTCTTGCAGCCCATCCCTGAAACTCACCGGCAACAGCCCGCACATTCTATCCCAACATTTTCCTACCATGTCCCAAGCCTCTGGTGGGCCCTGAACCTCAGGAGAATACACAGTTTCCTGGCCAAATGCCCTGTGACCAGATAACAGGGGCTGCGAAATCCCCGGCTGGGGACAGGAGAGAGGTCCTGCGGGACCAGGAGAGGAGGCGCCTCTGGGCCCCACATCCCACCCTGCTCAGCCTGTGCCCGTGACAGGGGCCCTTACCAACCCTCAATTTCTGGATTCCAAAGTTGGTGTCGGTTCGGCCTCTTTTGGCTATAGGTGATGGAAGTCAAAAGTGTTTCAGCAAAAAGGGGGTATTTATTGGGAAGATGTGGGAATCTCACGGAGCAGCCCAGCCCAGTCTCAGGAAAGGCAGAGGGATTCAGGGCTTCCTCTCTTTTTTCTTCGGCAGATCCCCTCCCAGTGGCAAGAAACGTGGCCCCAACAGCCCCAAGCTTCAGGCCTCACAGAGGTGCCCACACAGCACAGTCCCTTAGGAGCTGCCTGAACTCAGTGCCAGGACCACCCAAGGCCAATTTCCTCTGTATGTCCGGGGAGGAGCCTGGGCACCAGGTCCCCGGGTGACTTGAAAGCAGGCAAGATCTGATGCATTATAGCTTCCAGCCCCCAGACAGACTTGGAGTTCTCATTTATAACGGGGGGGGGGGGGGAGGGCAGGACTCTAAAGCCCTGCAGGGTCAGCTGCCCACCCCCTCTAGCCAGAGGTTCCAGGAGATGGCCTCCCCCGAGGCGCCCTGTGGGCACGCAGCAGCTGCCCCGCCAGGGCCCTGCGTCCATAATCCCACAGCCCCTCCGCCACTTGCTCCTCTCCTCCCATCCCTGACCTCCCAGGGAGTGCACCCGCCGTCATCGTCATCGTCATCGTGTCAGACTTCATTTCCCTCAGGCCAAGCTTGGGGGAGAAGGCTGGGCTGCATCCGTGGGATGTGGTGACTTGATGAGATGTGGTCACAAGGCAGGTGTTGGAGGAAGCCAGACAGAGCTGGCTGAGGAGGGCATGGGGAAGGCGGCTCTGAGGTCACAGCCAGGCTGGGGAGTTACTGGAGCCCGGATCAGCACTGGATGTGCTGTATAACCCACCCTGGAGGTCTGTCTCCCCATCTTTATGCCCAAGGACTCAGGGACCCACTCTAAGCCATGCCAGGGACAGATCAAAGGACGCCACACTTGAGGCTGGAGGTTCACTTCTCTTTCCAAAAATTACCAAACACACAGTCTAGGTGTGGCAGGGGACAGTCAGGTTGGGGACCTGGACATTATACACCCAGGGGGCCCTTGGCGGAGGCGGACAATTTAACAACTGGTCTGAAAGTCAAAAGAGAGGAGAGCTGGTTAGTGGGGTGAGCGTCAGGGCGGGGCAGGGGCTGTGGGGTTCAGGCCCAGGCGCAGGGACTGGCCAGCGTGGTCAGACCTGGGCCCTCCCAGCAGCCCACCCAGGGGCCCATTCCTGGGAGCAGGGGCAACACGTTTTGGCCTGGCCATGTGTGTGTGTGTGCGTGTGGTGCTGGGTCTACTGGAAGGGCCTGAGACCTAAACCCAAGGACAGCGGGCCGACCAAACCTCTTGGTCTTTCTGAACCTGTTTCCTCGTGTGTAACGTGGGGACATTCATCATCCTGACACTGCCCCCTTTATGGGGTTGCTGTGAGGAGCCTGTCAGCCTGGGAAGGGGACAGGCTCTAGCCACCCCAGGGCATGGGGCACCAAGGTCCACCTTTGTGGCTGTGTCCCCAGGGCCCGGCACAGAGTAGACACTCACGTAGCCCTGCAGCGAGTAAATAAGTGGCCCGTGGAAAGTGACGGCATCTGGGCTGGAAACATCTGGTGCCCGTGCACGGTGCAGACAGGTCCCTGCCCGTACCTCCACATGCGTGTGCACCTGCGGGCTGGGTCCTGCCTCTGGCCTCCCTCTGAGTGTCTGGGTCTGAGTCTCAGAGGGCAGAGTAGGTGCCTATGTGGGGACAAGCTGCTCAGAACCCTAACGGGGCTCGGGGGGCACGCTGTGCCGCAGGGGTGCCGAAGGGGCTGGAGGCGTGCAGGGCTCAGACGTACTCTCGCGCAGCAGCCGAGGGGCCAGGCCGGTAGGGCTGCGGGGTGCTGTTGGCTCTCTCAGGCTCCGGGCACGTACAGCAGAGGAAGGACCCCCCCAACATGGCCAGGCCGGCGGAGGCCCAGCCCACGAACAGGGCCGAGCCGAACTCGTACCTGCAAAAGGTAGGGAGGTCGCCGTTAGGGCTGGCTGCAAGCCTGCCCTGTCCCGGGGGTCCCCCCGCGCCCGCCCACGCCACCCACCCCCCCGCGGGGTGCGCAGGGTGTGGGGAGCTGAGACCAGGGGCATCCCAAGCCTCCCCGGTCTCTCTGGATGCGTTCGGATGAATGCCCCCCTCTTCCCCAGCGCCGACGTCCGCCCCAGCACAGCCGCACCGCCCAGAGTGACCCAGGCCCAGGGCGGCCTGCTCTGCGCGTGCACGCGGGCCCCTTTCCGCATCTGGCCTGGGGAGGGGGTCCAGGAGAGCCGCCGAGGCCCGTGGAGAGGAGCAGGGCAATCCCTGCCATCTTTCTCTCGGTCACCCTGTGGCCCAAAGAACTCCCAGCCCGGGCGGCCCGCTCTCCTCCGGCGCACGCGGGACCCTCCCCCTGGTGCCCCGGGTCTCCCCGCTTCCGGGCCCTCCGCCAGCCTAGCCTCTCTCTGCGGCGCCCCCAGGACGCCCCGCCCCCATGCTTTTGCTTTAGGCGCCCCCTCCTGGAGGGTCCCACGCCTGTGCCTCCTGGCGCTCCACTCCTCTTCCTTCAGGGCCCCCTTCAGACGCCACCTCCTCCCAGGGTCTTTTCCTGACCCCTGGGCCCTGACCGTTACTCTCACTAGGTGGCCATTCAGCTCCTGGCTTGCCCGAGCTGACGCTAGCGCCTCCAGGGCAGAGAGCACCGGGTCCCTCCGTGTCCCCAGGGCCAAGCCCAGGGCCGGCATACTGGATGCCTTGGAATGTTGGAGGGATAAGGAACCAGAGCCAGGCTGACGTCTGTCACTGAGCCGAGCAGCCTCTTGCTTGGAGACCTTCATGGCCGGAGCTGCCAGCCCCAGGGAACAAGCCCCAATCCAGAGGTCTCCTTTTTCTCCCTCGCCACACCTTTGCCTTCTCCAGGGAGCCTTCCAGACTGGAACAGCCCCAGCATCTTTTCCTCTTCTCCCTCCGCCAGGGCCAAAGGCCATTCACGATGTGTGGGATTGAGACTGTTCCATTCTCTACTCTGACACAGCTGAGAGGGGAGGCTGGAGCCAGGTGGGCCCAGGCTGTCTTCACAGAGCCCCCTATTCCACCCTCACGCCCTCGGCCTTACCAGTCCTGGCTGTTCTAGTTGCTAAATATCTCTGAACGTATTTTTCACTGCGAGCCTCTAGCCCCAAGCCCTGCTCCGGACCTTTGCACTTTACTGGTCTTATCCCCTCCCCACCACATTGCACGTCACAGCCACGATTGTTGGCCGCCTTCCACCCCAGGATGGGGAGCCAAATTTTCCTATGGCTGTAAGGCCCCCCAGTGTCTGCCCTTCCTGCTTCTCCAGTCTCCATCTTCCAGCCCAAAGCACCCGCTGCCTTCTGCGGGGATCACAGCGACGGGTTTGCTGAGTGCTCTCCAGGGCGCTGGAGTGGTGCAAAGTCCTCCCTGCAGCATCTCATTGAGCCCTCACACCCACATGTGAGCTGGGTCCTTGGGTCCCAGCTCCATTTTACAGGGAGGAGACCAGGCTCAGAAAGATTAAGGAACTCGCCCTTCACACAGCCAGCACACACAGAGCTGGGATTTAAACCCGGATCTGGGTTGCTTAGCTCCTGGAGTGCCCTCCACAGGGCCCCTGCCCCTTCAGAGCGCCCAACCACACCCTGCCTGGCTCCCTGCTCCAGAGAGTTTCTTGGTGATGGCACTCAGGGCTCGACCCTTGTTTCTCCCTCCAAGTATCCTGCTGGACAAAGGCAGTGGAGCGGGAGGCCCAGCTTGTCCCCTGGCCCAAGCCGTGCCCTGGCGCCCACCTGGCATTGATAGGTGTGCTGGGGTTGAAGAACTCCTGGGTCACCAGGGTGGCATACCATGAGACGGCTGTCAAAGTGCAGAGGCCTAAGGACAAAGGAGGGAGGGCTCAGCTCTGCTCTGGCCCCCAGCCGGCCACCCAGGGTGGGGCCACCTGCCATGGCCGAGGTGGTGGGGAGGGAGCCAGGGACACTCACCTGCCAGGAGGAAGAGGGCACCCCCAGAGATGGCGATGCGGCTCTTGGCGACGGGGTTGCTGTCCCCGACACGGGTGCACTTCATGCCCACCACACTGAGCACCATGGCCACAAAGCCCAGGAGCACGGCCACCACCATCAGGGCTCGGGCGGACTGGATGTGACCTGGGCAGGGCGGGAGGGACTGAGCGGGTGGCCGGAGAAGTGGGGACACAGGAGGAGCCCAGGATGGGAGGGGCCGGAGCAGGAGCACGAAGCTCCTCCCTGGCAGCCACCTGCAGCAGGTGTGAGGGGACAGTGAGGACCCAGGTGATTACAGGCTGTGAGCCCGAGCTTCACTTTCACCCCCCTCTCCTCTCCCCTTCAGACTCCTGTAGCATCAGGGAAGTTTGAGTTCTCTGGCCAGCTGCTCTCTGCAGGCAGCCTCCCTTTGGGGCCTGGCCCACCCCCTCCCAAGCAGTGGGGGTCGCTTCCTCCTGGAGCCTTGCAGAGTCAGCAGAAGAAAGAACCGAGGGAGTCTGAGGCCCGGCTCATCGAGGTTGGCTCTCAGGCAGGGACGCCTCCTCCATCGGTCATTCTGGCTCCTGGTCACCTTCCGCTCTGCCCCCTGACTCGTCCGTGGCAGGCATCCACCTGCACCCAGGTCAGTCCTGGGCCACAGGCAGCCAGGGGATCTGGGTCCCTGAAAGAGCCAGGCGACCCACGTGGACGGGCATGGGGAGGGGGTGTTGTGTGATAGCTGCCCGGCTCAGGCCGGTGAGGCCCTGGGCAGAGGGTGGGTGGGTTGGCCCCAAGCCAGGGACAGAGCTGCAGTGGCCTGTTTACACAAGCCAACTTGTCAGGCGCAGCCCCGCACCCCGGGAGAAAGAGAAGGAGAGGGAACCACGAGCGCAAACGCCGTGTGCACAGGTGTGTGCGTAGTGTGGGTCGGCGCGCCCAAATGGGGACGTGCGTGTCTAGGTGCAGGCGTGGCGTGAAGGTGTGTGCACAGTGTGTCCGCATATGGAGTATGGGGAGAAGGGGAGGGGAATGAGCCTCTCCGAGTGCCAGGCACCCCTCTCAGCTAACCCTGCCACAGTCCTGTAAGGCCCTCGTGCGCCCCTCTACAGATGAGGACATGCGAACACAGGCAGGGGGCGGCTCCTTTAAGGTTATAGTGGCAGAGCGGGGATCTGGACTCCTGGCTGTCGGGGCCTACAGCCCCTGCCCTCCACGGGGCACCAGGCTGGCCTGGATTTTCAAAACGCACAGGGGTAGGGGCTGGAGAATGAGGCCCAGCACAGGGTCAGGCTGTGTGCCAGCCTGCTCCCGCCTCCCCCCTCCCCCCACATCCCACCTCCCCCAAGGCAGGGAGACCTACCTTCCAGGGCGAGCAGTGAGTCGTAGAGTTTGCACTGCACCTGCCCGGTGCTCTGGGAGGCGCAGGACATCCAGAGCCCTTCGTAGAGGCCCACGGCTGTGATGATGGCGTCGCCCGCGTACGAGGACTGCTTCCACTGCGGGAGGGCTGTGCTGGCGATGATGCCCACCCAGCCACCCAGGGCCAGGAAGTAGCCCAAGAGCTGGAGTCCTGAGTTGGCCATGACCCAGGGGAGGGGAGGAGGGGGCTGGAGGTCCCAGGGCTCAGGCCCGGGCCAGGGTCCCTGGGTAGGCCCGGGTCATGGCCAGGTGAGAGGAACAATTGGGTGGGGGGGGGTAGGAGAGCGGCGGGTGGCCAGAGGCTGAGAAGGAGAGGTTGCAGCCCGGTGGTGGTGGTGGTGGTGGTGGTGGTGGCGGCGGCAAAGGCAGCGGCTCTGGGCTCTAGAATGCAGGGGGAGGCCGAGGGGCTGGGAAGGCCAGGGGCCCGCCCACAGCAGCTGCCTAAGCCAGAGCAGGGTCCTCAGCATGGCTCCTGCCGGCCCCCTGGGGTGGGGGGCGGGGCCATGGCACAGGTGGGTGCCTCGGCCCCGCCTCCTGGGGAAAGAGAGGGGAGGGGCTGGGAGGAGTGACCCTGCTTGCCCTCAGGGCCTTTCTGGGGGGAACCCCCTTTAGGAACTTGCAAATATCCTACAATTCTAATTCCTGCCCAGCACCAGCGCTGAGATGATGCACTTTGCTGTTGCTTGGCTGACTTGCCCCTTGGGTTTCTGTCCTCTGACTGTAGGACAGAAAGGAAATGGAATTCCATTTTGCAGCAGGTAAGACTAGAGTTAGATGTCAGGAAGAACTTTCTGGAGAGATCTCTGAGACCAGATGTACAGAGACTGGGCTGGGAGGGTATGTTGGGAGAGGGAATCCGGGTTCTGGGGGTCGGGGGCGGGCATATGTATCCAAAACAGGGGAGGCCAGGCCAGGGATATGTACTGTGGGATCTGAGATCTGACGGAGGCAGATGAGGGACCCCATCAAGGCTGGGCCAGACCTGGCTGCCAGCCAGCAAGAGGCCTGGTCGGGGAGGTGGGAGATAGTACTGACCTCCTGGCATCAGCCGCAAGGAAGGCAGACTGTTCAGCCTCGTTAATCCCCTTGCTGGCTGGTTTAGGAGCCCCTGCTGGGGCCGGAGGCACGGGGCCCTGGCCTCTAGCTCCAGAACAGCCTGGCGGGGAGCCGTGGCTTCTGCACATTCCTGGGGTTCAGGCTGCCCCTCCTAGCTGCCCACCCCTCCCTTCCCATCCCAGCTCAGCCCTCTGGAGCAGAGGAATGTTTAACTCTCCTCGAGCTCATTAGCAATCCCCTCACGTTCAGTTTGGCCCCACGGGCACCACCGGGCGTGGGTGCACGGGGAATGCCACAATCGTGCGCCTACTCTGGCCAACGTCCCCCCCTCCCGGCTGCCCCCTCCATCCCCAGCGGCCCACCTGCCTTTCCTGGACCGCACTGGGGGAAAGCAGGGTCCTGCTGTGGGCCCCCCACCCCCACCCGCAGGCTTCCTCCCCCGCAGCCCGGCCCCCCTCCGCAGAGACTCGTCCCCAGGCTGCTCCCTCACATTCTTCACGTGGCTATGCAAACGAGAGGGTGCCAGGCACTGCGCAGACAATGGCTGCCCTGTGCGCCCGCCCAGGGCGTGGGCCCCTGGTATGGCCTGCAGCTCCAGCAGATGGGGGCAGGGGTGGGCGCTGTTGGCCTGCAGCTCCGAACACCGAGCCCCGCCCCCCGCACTGGGAAGACCAGAGCCACATGGGTCCACACACGCACAGCCACTTCCTGGGATACCCCAGGAGTCTCCAAACTCAGAGGTGGCCTAGAGCTGTTGTAGACAAGTCAGGGCTGAGCTGGGATCCCTTTTCTACCTCAGACAGTTCAGATGTGGTACGATCAGGGGGAAGAGAGGACATTGCTGGAGCCCAGCGCAGAGACTTCCGGGGATGCGGTGAGCATCCTTTCTGCACCCAGAACCATCTAGTCCTCAAGGCAGCCCTTCTTGGCGTGCAGGCCCTCCACTGGTAAGGAGCCGAGGCGGAGAGGTAGCCTACCCTGGCTGAGGACGCAGCAGATCTGTGCGCTAGCGCCACAATCACCCCACACCCTGCCTTCCTGAGGAGGCTCTCTGATGAATGCGGGGGCTGAGAGCCGAAGAGGGCAAGTGAGCCACTTAGGGTCACACAGCTGTCCCCAGCTGTCTGGGGGTGCTGAGGCCTCAGAGATATCGGGATGATTGCACACCCCTCCGTCCAGGGCATCCCTCCCTCGTACTGGGGACCCAGAGCCACTTTGTGGTCCAGAATGAGGCTCACGTCCCCTCTGAAGCTCTTCTGTGTAACCCTCCTCTTTGTTATTTGAGGTCTCAAGTCTGCTCTACCAGAATGTTCTCTCCTACCCTGAGGGCCTTTTGGAATTCAGATCCTGCTCCTGGGTGGAGTTCCCTGCTACCCCTGCAGTCCAGTGACTCCCAGGCATGCGGGGACAGCAGGAACCTTCAGGGTCCCTACTCAACCTCCATTAGGAACTCATTAGAACCTGCCCTGGGGTGCCACACATCCCTGTTTATTTATTTATTTTTAAAATTTTTAATGTTTTATTTATTTCTGAGAGAGAGGGAGAGACAGCTTGAGCAGGGGAAATTCAGAGAGAGAGGGAGACACAGAATCTGAAGCAGGCTCCAGGCTCTGAGCTAGCTGTCAGCACAAAGCCTGATGTGGGGCTCAAACCCACGAACCGTGAGATCATGACCTGAGCCAAAGTCGGATGCTCAACTGACTGAGCCACCCAGGCACCCCTGCTTAACAAGTGCTTTCACATAGGTTACAAGGCTCTGGTTTTACTTCTGCCACTAAAAAGCTGTGTGACATTAGGCAAGTCCCTTAGCCCCTCTGAGATAAAATAGGGACAATAGCACTGGCCCTGTCTGGCTCATGAGGGGGGTTATAGGGATCAAGTAATGGGTGAAAGTCCTTTGGAAAACATAACATACCTAAAGAAACGTGGCTAAGCTCTTCTAAAAAGACTCCCCACTGGGCGAGACCCCCCCCCGCCCCCCACCCCCCCACCCCCCGCTTTGCCCTCTTGTTCTGGGTATGTGTTGGCTGCCTGTGACTGGAGACCCACAGCCACGTTGTGCCCAGCAGTACCTGGCAGAGAGCCCTGCTTAGCAGATACGTGTTGATCATTGACTGATTGGTTTGGGGATTAAATGTTTCTGCCTCCCTCCTGGTGAAACACTAGAGCTGTTTCCCAGGCTGTCTCCCGCTGCCAGCCAGCAGGGCCCTGATTCAGTCAGCTGCCATCCAGCGCACCCTCAGCACCCACCACCTCAAGTGTTGGGGGCTCAGGAGGTGGTACCGGTCTTAACTTCCCCGCAGCTGAGACTCAGACTCTCCTGTGGAAACACAGGTTGGGGGGACACCTGGGTGGCTTAGTCAGTTGAGTGTCCGACTTCAGCTCAGGTCACGATCTCATGGTCCATGAGTTCGAGCCCCGCAATCGGGCTCTGTGCTGACAGCTGAGCCTGGAGCATGCTTTGAATTCTGTGTCTCCCTCTCTCTCTGCCCCTCCCCAGTTCATGTTCTGTCTCTCTCTGTCTCTCAAAAATTAACGTTAAAAAAAAAGAAAAGAAACACAGGCTGGAAATGGTTAAGACTTGCTTCTGGCCACACAGCCAGGTTCCCCACACTTCATCCAGGGATGAGGGGGGGCCGGCGGGTCTCTGCAACGCGTGTGGCTGCTGGTGGCATCATCTCCTTCCCAAACAACCCTGAGCCCAAGCTCTCTTTGGTGCCCTTGCCAAGAGCCCTGCCAGAGGCCTGGGGCACCAGAGACCAGCTCCTTCCGAGTCTGCATCTTCCTCCTGTCTGCCACCTGGGTTGTCTCCCATCCCTGCTAGCGCTCCCATGGTGCTGTCCCTTCATCTCAAGCAGACTTCCCCCCAGGCTCGGCCAAGCAGTCACAGCCAGGGCTCTGCCATCGTTCCCCTGCTTCCCGGACAACTAGTCCCCACCCCCAATTACATGCACTTTTCCCGGTTCTGTGGACGGTGAGAACACTTGGCCTTTCCTGACAATCGGCTGTCTCTGTGTGGTTGGCATACCGTGAAATTGTAAAGGTCATCATCTGCCTTAATGTGGAAACTTCTGGAGGACCAGAATCAGGCCGATGTAGCTTTCTGTTCTGTTGAGCGTCTACTACATGCTAAGCACGGTGCCAGGTGCGTTAGGAGCATTCCCTCGTTACTCCTGTCAAGCATCCTGGGCGGTAAGGGCCCTGGTCCTGTGTTACTGGGGAGGACACGTACTCTGAGGTCGCACGACTCCCAGGGTGGAAGTGAGCTTTGTCCAGCCCTGATCGTGGGCAAAGCTCATGCTCCTTCCATCAGTGAGTCCTCTCTCCCTATGGCAAGTGCGACACCAAACAGGACAGTCTGCCAGTACCTGGCAGAGGAGTGACGGCCCCTTGCCCTTGAGCACGCTCACACATGCTGCTGTCTCCCACATTAAGAACAGCTGCTCCTCCACATCTCCCTCCAGCTCCTCCCAATGCCCCCACGAAGAGCTGAGCTCCTGAGAAGAGCTGTCTACACCCGCCTTTGCCACTTCACACTCTTCCCCTCTTGCGAGGCGCTCCAGCTCACCTTTCGTCCACATGGCCTCCCCAGTGTCTCTTGCCAGGCTCCCGTGGATCTCCACGTCACCTGGTCCCGAGTGGCTCCTCAGTTGCCATCTGCTCAGCCTCTCAGCAGCACTGCCGCCTGCTCCCTGCTCCTACGTGAAGCTGTTGCCACTGGCCACCAGGACGCCGTCCCTTTTGGCTCCCCTGCTCACGGCCGTCCCCCATCCTCTGTGGGGTCCCGCCGCCCCACCAGGCTCAGTCTTCTGCCTCTTCCTGTCTACACTGACCTCAGCCTCCCTGCGTTGAACACCATCCACAGCTGTGGCGGCTCCCAAAGTTACGGCCCCTCCCTCCTCCTCTCCCTAAACTCCGGATCCATTCATCCGACCATCTAGTTGACACTTCTGCTTCCAGGCCCAACAGGCTCCTTGAACTCAAGCATAACACTCGTTACACTGGGCTTCCAGTTCCACGCCCAGCGCCATCTCTCTGCAGTCTCCCTGTCGGGGGAAAGCAGCTCCGTTCTTCCAAGTGCTTAGACTGGAAGCCTTCACGACGCTCCGTTTCCTCACACCACCCGACCCAC